ATAGTATAAATAAGTCAGTTGTTACCAGGATAGTGAACGTTAATACACTGGCCATTAGATGAGTTATAAAGTATAAATAAGTCAGTTGTTACCAGGATAGTCAACGTTAATACACCGGTCATTAGATAAGTTATATAGTGTGAATACGTCAGTTGTTACCAGGATAGTCAACGTTAATACACTGGCCTTTAGATAAGTTATATAGTGTGAATAAGTCAGTTGTTACCAGGATAGTGAACGTTAATACACTGGCCATTAGATGAGTTATAAAGTATAAATAAGTCAGTTGTTACCAGGATAGTCAACGTTAATACACTCGCCATTAGATAAGTTATAAAGTATAAATAAGTCAGTTGTTACCAGGATAGTGAACGTTAATACACTGGCCATTAGATAAGTTATAAAGTATAAATAAGTCAGTTGTTACCAGGATAGTCAACGTTAATACACTGGCCATTAGATAAGTTATAAAGTATAAATAAGTCAGTTGTTACTAGTATAGTCAACGTTAACACACTCGCCATTAGATGAGTTATAAAGTGTGAATAAGTCAGTTGTTACTAAGATAGTGAACGTTAATACACTATCCACAAGATAAGTTATATAGTATAAATAAGTCAGTTGTTACTAGGATAGTCAACGTTAATACACTGGTCATTAGATGAGTTATAAAGTATAAATAAGTCAGTTGTTACTAGTATAGTCAACGTTAATACACTAGCCATTATATAAGTAATAAAGTGTGAATAAGTCAGTTGTTACTAGGATAGTCAACGTTAATACACTAGCCATTATATAAGTAATAAAGTGTGAATAAGTCAGTTGTTACCAGGATAATCAACGTTAATACACTAGCCATTATATAAGTAATAAAGTGTGAATACGTCAGTTGTTACTAGGATAGTCAACGTTAATACACTAGCCACTGGATAAGTTATAAAGTAGTGAATACGTCAGTTGTTACTAGGATAGTCAACGTTAATACACTGGCCATTAGATAAGTTATAAAGTATAAATAAGTCAGTTGTTACTAGTATAGTCAACGTTAATACACTCGCCATTAGATAAGTTATATAGTGTGAATAAGTCAGTTGTTACCAGGATAGTCAACGTTAATACACTAGCCATAAGATAAGTTATAAAGTGTGAATAAGACACCATCGAGGAGCGAATATTTTGTGGTAATCTTCTTCACAGTATGGCTCACCATCACGCTCAAAGAAGTTCTTGGTACCCAACTCTTGACTGCATTTTTACACGTAAAATGTTCTGGGTGCCATGTCTGTCCAAGAGCCGTGATAACCTGAGAAAGGATTTCTTGTTAGTTAGTGAATGGAATTATTTAATTTCTTTTTCTTCCGCTACTTGTATCATAGTCGGTAAAATCCAACACTCTCACTGAAACTATTAATGAATTTTAAGTTCGTGTAAAAAAATAACCCATCTTAGAAAAAAAAACAAACAGCAAGCCTAAACGTTTTTCCTGGATTAAAAAAGTGTTGATTGATAATCTTTGTGTTTTGTCTTGTTTGTTTGTTTGTAGTTATGCACAAAGCTACACAATGGGCTATCTGTGCTCTGCCCAACACGGGTATCGAAACCCAGTTTCTAGCACTGTAAGTCCGCAGACATACCGCTGTGCCACTGGAGGGCGTGTTTTGTCTTGTTTGTTTGTTTATAGTTATGCACAAAGCTACACAATGGGCTGTCTGTGCTCTGCCCAACACGGCTATCGAAAACCCAGTTTCTAGCACTGTAAGTCCGCAGACATACCGCTGTGCCACTGGAGGGCGTGTTTTGTCTTAACGGATAATATATTTATACAATATTACATCATTATCCTTAAAACAAGTTCAGAGGTGTAGGAGGCAAATTGAAAATGGGGGAGGGGGGCAAGGTTTATTTGACCGAGTGAAGCGAGGGAATGTGCACCATAGATCTGGGTCCAGGGCTCGCCTTAAGGCCCTGGAAGCTCTTTACTTATGGATTAATTTTTATGTATTCTCCTCATCCAGAGAGTAATTTTCCTAATTCTGATGCTTCCTATGCTGCTGAAGTTGAATATGCATACAGAGTTCTATATTCTTTAAATTTAAAAGCACGTGAACTTTCAAAGAATAACTAACTTGTTGATTTTACGTCTGTAATCAGTCTTCATTAAAATAATCTTACTTACACTTACTCACTGAGGCTCCACTCATTCTCTGTCAACAGCGGCCCCCAGTGGTGGGAAGCAGAACAAGATACTTTAAAATATATCCACCTTTTTATTTTTAACATTATTTGTAAAAAGTTATTCTAAAAAGTTTTTGAAAGAAAAAATACAGTGTACCAAATTTCCTGAAATATATTAGGTCAGTAACCCGACTTCCTCCAACTGAGCCCCAGAAAATTGTATGGCTACTCAGGGGAGTCATGAGTTGGGGGATTTTGAGTTTGGTTTCTTCTGAATTTCGAACTACGCTATTCTAGGGCTATCCGCGCTAGCTGCCCCTAATTTAACAGTGATCGACCAGAAGGAAGGCAGCTAGTCAATACCACCCACCGCCAGCTCTTGGGCAACTCATTTATCAACTAATATTCGTTTCATCGACTGCCCACGGTCCCACTGACCACATAATTGATGTATTCAACTTGACTTATCTAGATAAAGCCATAGCTAAGGTTTTCTGTATGCTTCTTTACAGTAGGTGTCTCTGATTTGTTGGCGATAAATTTCAACAATAAACAAACTGATATGAGAAGTCCACCTAACGTCGTTTAACAGCAACTATTTGTATAACTATTCAGATAGGAAACAACTAACGTATGCACATTGTAAAATCCATCTAGCAACTAGTGTATTAACGTTGACTATCCTAGTAACAACTGACTTATTCACACTTAATAACTTATCTAATGGTTAGTGTATTAACGTTCACTATCCTAGTAACAACTGACTTATTCACACTTTATTACTTATATAATGGCTAGTGTATTAACATTGACTATCCTGGTAACAACTGACGTATGCACACTATATAACTTATCTAATGAGCGGTGTATTAACGTTGACTATCCCTTGAATGGGTTCATTACAATAAGCAACTTACATCATCGAGGACCAACATCTTGAATGGGTTCATTACAATAAGCAATGTAAGTATGTTGGAAACGAAAGCTTCAGCTTTGCTTTGTCAAAATTTGGCTGTGACAAGATATTGAAACACGTGTTTTCACTGCCTTATTTTGTTGTACGACGAACTTTGTAACTATTAGCTGTGATCTAACTCTGACAGGACGACAATCGTCAAGATAGATCAATGCTTTAAAGATTTTGTCCTAATTTGTCAGTTTTACAAATGTTTTTTTATTTCAGGAGATTGATCCCTCTGATAAATCTAGTATTTATGGATTTTACTTTTAAATATACATGTATGTATGTATTCTGTTGTTGTGCGTTAAGCCTGGTGGCCACTCCTGAAGATATCAGAAATCACACACACACACACACACAAATTGATTACAAGAAATAAACATACTGAATCCCATTTTTAAGTATGTTTTAATCTTACCGTACTTGTACTTAGCTGTAAAAAACAAAACAAAAACAAACTTGGGGAGATAGAGATATGTATGAAAAAATTACTACCACAGTAAAGTGGAATAACAAATAATTCTGGAGAAGATTGGAGTTCAAATACCATTTTAGTTGTACATATTTTCTGTGTTAGCAGAAGTAAAATACTGCTAGCTAAACAGCCATTTGTTCTTTGGGAATATCATTAAAAGCTTTTCTCAAGAAAGCTAACGACTATATTGTTCTTAGATTGACACAGCTGAATGATACCGCCAAACAATATTCTTAGTATATATATATTTTAAATATACATATGACGTTTCAATGTATTTCGTAAATTTAACAAAGAAACATCTTTTATGTTAAATAATATTGTTGTTGACTCAATCTGTATGTTAGATTATTTTATTTTAACCCCTGTTATTAACTTTATTGTTGTTATTATTATTTGGCAAAAACTGTATATTTCTAAACTAAATGTATTATTGATTACATTCTACACATATAATTGCAGAAGTGTGTGACAGCTTTGGATAAAACCTGGCATCAAGAACATTTCTTCTGCGCCCATTGTCGTCGGCCTTTTGGGGAGGACGGATTTCACGAAAAGGACGATAAAGCTTATTGTCGAAAGGACTTTTTTGACATGTTTGCGCCTAAGTGTGGTGGCTGTAACAAATCTATCAAGGATAATTATATTTCTGCTCTAAACGGCCAATGGCATTCGGAATGTTTCGTGTGCAGAGTAAGAAGTATTTTTTTTATGTGTTAAACAAAATGTTTTTCATTTAAAGTTTTGTTAGGAAATTTGTATATGTTTTAATGGAAAAGTAAGTATTATGCTATTTTTCAATAAAATTCAGTTTTATTAATTAATCATTAACCAGAACATAGCCTCTTTGCTGTCATAAACTGAACCCTGTGATATATTAATCTGTCAACTAAGCCTAATGACGTATCAGCGAGTCAGCCAAGTATAATAATACATCAGTTTGTCAACTAAGCCTAATGATGCATCAATTTGTCACCTAAGCCTAATGATACAGCTCTCTGTCAACAAAACTTAATAATACATCACTGTGTCAGCCAAGCCTAATGATGCATCAGTCATATATAACCAAAGGTGTAACAAATAGTTGGCCCCTTCATTTAAGCCATACAATGTATTAGCTTCACTATTAGTATTTTGTACAAATTATTTGTATGTCGCGACATGGTACATTAGCAGTATTATTCAATACGATCAGATGAATGAATGTTGTACAATAAGTATGTTATCACATACATAAAACAAGTATAAATGGTATACACATGTCACAGCAGTAAAGCTGTATCAGTTTTTAACATCGGCGAAACTTTATTTGTTATGCACATAGTCCAATACATCAAAATATTATCTATTCTAAGACGCAACAAAAATAACAAGATCTTCCTAATGGACCACCTCAGATATACAAAGTTCCCTTTTCACGTTTTTTTGTTTTTTTTCGGACTGTTGACACGCTTTTACTAGTGAAACTCAGAACAACGATTCATACGCTGACATGACCGCGTTAGCAACGTAGTAAGTTGTTGTGTAGGCGTAGGCCACCTACCTAAAGTTGTTCGGAATAAGTTATCCTATCCCCCCCATCGTGGGCGGTTCTGTCTGTTACTGATCCACCCACCTAATAATAGTATATTTAAATTAATCTGTGTCAAGGTTTATAGCTTAAGTTATGGATGAATATTATACTAAAATCCCATATCAAAGTATTAACTAGTAATAATGCTAATAATAGTTATTAGAATCGTAGTTACGATGTATATCATGTCTATAGTTGC